TTTCCTTTTGCCTCCACGTGCACAACCTCATAAAATCGCACCTCGCTTGGCGCTTGATCGAGTTGGCCATCGTCCACGTCTTCTTCATATCGAGATAGCAGTACGGCGAAAAGATCCAGGGGGCGTCACACCCATTCGAGCGTCGCAGTCCTTCAATCGTCGCTTCGATCGAGCTCAGTAGCGTGTGCTGGAGGTAGGCGCCGTAGTTGGCGGGTGACGCCACGAGGGCAGTGGATGACGCAAACGATGCCATCGCGTTGATACTTGGTCGGTCGAGGGGGAGGTCAATCATGGTGGTATTCCCAATGACGAGTTGTTCGTTGAGCCAGTTGGCGATGAACGCGTGCGCGCCAGTGGTGTTGAAGGTGGCCCAATATACATCATTCGCCAAGTTGACTTCGGAGACGGTGAGGTACGAGATCGAGCCCACAATAGACGAAGCAACGTAGCTAAGCCCCATGAGTTTGCACAAAAACGTCCATGCTTGAGAGTGTCGGCGGTTAGTTTGAACGTCGTTGGCGTGAGGAGCATCAAACAAGGGTCCAGACGGCGCCTCGCGGTACACTAGCTTTGGTCGTCGAAGGACCTTGGTCGCTTGCGTCGTGGAGAGGTGGTCCTTGAGCAGCAGCCAGAGCTTGACGTCAAAGGTGTAGCTAACGCCCTTGTAGTCGATCGGCAGCAAGCCTGCCAGTACGCAAGCCACATGGTCCAAGACGTACTGCGTATCTGTTGTGCCCAGCGCCGTTCGTGCAAACGCCTGTGCAATGCCGTTGACGAGCAGCGAGGCCTCCGCGACCTTGGCCTTGGCGGGTCGCGACCGGCGGCGCAGGCTGCCAACCATGGATGAGAGGGTAATGGCACTCCCTTGAACGAGGAGAATCGTGGCTACACGGGTGCTACTGCCCGTGGAGACAACGCCGCTCGTGCATGCGAGACCATAGTCCAGCTGAACGCCGCTGCAGTGCCGTTGCAGGTCCCCAGAGATCGCAATTGGACTTGCCACGTCCAAGACGAGGAGGATCAACCACACAAGCAGACTCGCCATCGAGCTGTACAACTGCGTCTGGTCCTGCGTGACGAGCACCAAGACATCATTGGCGACGTACGTGAGCCACGTGGCCTCACCGGTCACGACAATGGCTTCGAGCCAGCTCCGAGGCGTCGCCACGAACCGCGATGCGCCAGAGGAAGATGTCTCAAGCGATGCGTTGGCCGAGCTCAGCAGCAAGATGGCCGACGCGCCTCGTAGAAAAGCCAGCGGTCGACCGATCCAGACAGCCCCCACGATCCGGTTGAAGAAGAAGAGGTTCAAACCGTTGAACCGCAGTCGGGTCTTGGCCGCATACACCAGTGCTATCCCGCCGACGCCCACAAGAATCACCGAGGTGGCGACCACAAGGTAGTAGAGAATCTGGGTCGCAGACTGCAGCGGCTGCGTCCCTGTTGTGTAGAGTTGTGGACTATAGGCATTTGAGATCAAGGTGAGATTGCCATTGTCTCCTTGAAACGACACGACTTCGCGGTTGCCGAGGACCCAATCAAAGAGAAAGACGTAGCCAAAGAACGCAAACGAGGGCTCAAGCAGAGGTTGTTTGAGGACGACCCACGAGCCATTGGCTGCAGTAGCGTACTGCATCAAGCCAATGTTTAGCCCAATCTCATTTGCGACCGAGGTATTCCAGTCCAGCGCAAAAGACTCCAAGAGCTGGTCCGTAGCTGTGGTGGCAGCAATACAAGCTGCCGCTGGGGAGGCCACGGCGCAAATGTCTTGGATGGGCTGGCTCGCAGTAGCGACGCGAGCAAGCACGAGCAGCAGCGGGTCAACCACAAGCATAAGTGGCTTGGGCTTGGAACAATCGTAGAAGAAGTCGAACGACTGCTGCACATAGGTCGTCCGCGGTAGCGCCGTGCAGGCTGGGTCGCCGCCGTAATAGCCAAACGACCGCCATCCGAGAGGCGTCAACTCTACTGCGATTCTCGGCAGCGCGGTCAAGAGGTCGTGTCCGCCAGGAGCGGCGACGAGACGTTGGCGCAGCGCCACGAAGGCTTGGACACTTGTTTGAGGTAGAGACTTGTAGACAAGGTCGATGCTCTCGAACGGACCGACCGTGGTCCGGAAGAGCGCGGCTTGGTTGAAGAATTGACCCGAGACCGAGGTCTCTCCGATGAACACTTCGAGGTCCATAGCAGGCAGCGCCGTTGAGAGATTTGCTCGGAAATCCCGCGACGACCCGCGCACCAAACTGCGGTTCATGTCGTGGAGGTTCCAGAGGTCGTTGAGTGGAATCCAAAAGAGCCGAAGGGACGTCCACGGACCTGTGAGTCGCGGGAGGTTCTTGATCGTCACGAGCTGCCGCATGCCAATCGCATTCTCGAGGAATATGGTTTCTGTGATACCGACTTGCCACCGGTTCTGCCACTGCAGCTCAAACCGATCCAGTTTGTAGTTTTGCCAGTAGAGAATCTCGTCTTGGATCGTCGTCGACGCGCGCGCCGTCGACACTTGGTTCAAAAAGGCTTGTCCAATCGCAGTCTCTTCCAAAGCCAACTGAATGGCGACCGTGAACGGGGCGTCGTCGCCGCCCCAAATCGCCTGAAAGTCGGTCCAGATTACATTGCGCAAAATGGCTTCGATGTACACGGCCCCGTTGGTCGCAAAGAAGCGTTCGCAGCGGCGCTGGCGGGCGTCCGTGTGGGCCATCTCGAACGTTTTGTTAAAGTCGACCCAGCAGTGCTGCACGTTGATGCGCATCGACCAGGACCCAGACACGGTCCGGAGCTGCGGCACGGCGTACTCGATGGACGTGAGCTCGCCCAAGATGGCACGGCGAGCGTACGTGGGCGACACGCTTGTGCCAGCTGTCGACATGTTGTAGAGTTTTTGCATCGTCGCATCCGCCGCGTAAATGTTTACGGTGGACGCTGCCACAAGCGCCAATTGGGCGTTGACAAGGTCGATAAGAAGGGCTTCGCCCCCCGTCGGGGTAAAGCCAGCCCACCAGAGGTCATTGGCGAGACTTGGCGAGAGGAGCGAGAGGTACCAGAGACCGATGCCGAGCGAGATGACAAGATAGGCGACACCAGCGATAGCCAGTGCCCACTGCGACCGCGACGGCGCCAAGTGTTCTACTGACGGCGCCGACGGAGCCACCGCGAGCGAGCGACCCAGCATGCGTGTTGTCCAACTGAACTGTAGCAAGGCGATCGAAACTCCTGTGGTGAATCTATTTTGGTGCATTAGACATTTACGGAACGAAAGTAGCCGACAAGCAAGAAGATAGCAACGGCGATAGGGCTAGATTCGACATCGGGACGGCTCAGGTCGTTGTTTATGGGTCGTGGCTGGATGCCATAGTCTACAAGAGCTCGATCGAATCCACCAGTTCTACAGATTTGTCAAGTCGAACCTCGTAGCTTGTATTACGGCCATCCCAGTCGTGTCTGGCGCGTGGTTTGGGCCCAAGTCGGCGCGATCGTGCAGGTTCGAAGCGACGTCTCGAGGTACCGGGTACCGACATCAAAGTTACCTTACTACATACGCGTTGTGCCACACGCACAACACTACGCTGCAGAAAATGGAGCGATGTTGACCCAATGACGTTGACCGCTCCGTCTTGAAACGCAAGAGGTGTGTCCTCCAGAGCTCTCCATACATTGCTACATCGTGTGGCATTTCGAAGTGCAGTCATCTACGAGCACGAGCACTCACCGGGCACAGAACGCTCCCTTCGTCTGCCTTTTTCAGCACTCGAGTTGGACACGCAGCTTATCTAGCTCGCACATTGCGCTGACGACTAGAAGTGTCGACCAGATGCAAGGCATTGACCAATTCCTAGACCAGAATTGTCGTTTTGAAACTTTGGGTATCACACGTGCAAAGACAGTCTCGGTCGACGACCCACGCGTCGTCACAACCCACAACAACTTGCAAGCGCCAACACTCGTCGCGTCGTCGCTCGTGATTCGTGGCTCAAGGCGGCGTGCGCGAACGTTCATCCAGGTCAGGTTTTCATTTCAACACGCTTACACAGGTCAGCAACCATCACTCACGCATCAGATCGACCATCATTCGATGCCGCTGGGTGATTTTTGGCGAACGTTGAAATTGAGATTGCACATTCAGATTTCCTTTTGCCTCCACGTGCACAACCTCATAAAGATGCTTGCGTGCACCTCAACCTCAACCTCAACCTCAACCTCAATGCCAACGTTTCGCTCGACAATGCGCAGCCCGACGCGCGATGCCCTCGCCGGTCTCGTGAGCCAGATCACGATGCTCTCGAGCGATGCGCTCGAAGGTCTTCTGGCCCTCGTCGCACAGTACGAACCGTCGCACGTTGCCAACTGCAGCTCCGAGGAAGTCGAACTCGACCTCGAGCGCCTCCAGCCGATGACGCTCATGGCGGTCGCTCAGTACGTCACCGTCTGCCAATGGCGCTGAAAAGACAGCAGCTTATTCGACCAACGACACGCAACACCACCACCGACACCGACGCAAGCTAGCTCAAAGAACGCATGCCCCAACGACTCTTATCGTCATCACGCCAAGCGCGCGATCCTCTTCGGACACTTGATAAGCAACCTGCAGTAATCCCATATTCAAACTGAGATTTCCTATACTGTTCTCTTGGACCAGAGCTCCAAGTGCAGGTTGGTCATGGGCGCCGATAAGAGATGCTACGCTACTTAGAGCGCAGAGGTCACATCGGCTCGGGTATAATGATAACGTTATCCTAGTCTCCTCATGCCTAGCGGACTCTGCGGTGATCGTTATCGTCAAACGTCCGGCGCCCAGCAGCAAGTCCCCTCGCATGTCCCCGTTCTTTTTCTGCGGCACCATGGTCGCGCGTGAAAAACGTGTGTTTTATGTGTGTTTTATAACGGACGCGTCCCACGACCGCTTTCATGCATCCCATCCGGCGGTATGCACTGAATTACTGCTGCGTTGGACGAGTGAAAGGTCGAGTCCAAGCGTCTTGCTCGTCGAAACGACGCTGCAATAGGTACTACTGTCCTCTACACGCCTTGTGCCTGTGATCCGCATGATGTTCACTGTGCATGGGCATGCGCAGCGACCTGTGTCTTTTGTTGCGTGCAAAATGGCTGGAATGGACGGAGTCGCACCCGCCATCGGCGCAGTGTTTGCCCCGAGGCAGCCCACCGCGGCTGCACTGTACGACCCAAGCAAAGTCAGCCATCGTGTGGCAATGTGGGAGGGTGCGTATCGTTTTACACGTGAAAAAGGTGGGAAATCCAGTGGTGGCCAAGTGGTGACATGGCACCAGCTGGGCTCCGACTCGATCGCCTTCGTAATGCCAGCGGCGGCGACGGCTCTCTGGCGCCGCTCCATTCCGCGATTGCATGTCGCTCGCCCGCTTCAGCTCGCCGTTCTCGCTGAACCGGTCGCCGGTCGCCAAGGCCGCCTTGCCGCAGTCGCACGAGGTCCAGCGCCGCCGTGTCTCGCTCATCGGCCGGCTCTTCACCTCCAACGAGCCGCGCGATCCTATCTACCAGCCGCCGCCTCTGCACCCAAAGAAGCCGTCGTCCAAGCGTGCGCTTCACGACATTCCCGACGACGACGACCAACCGATCGTGCGGCGCGCCGACGCCAGCGAAAGCATGACCAACACGATCCTCATCAGCATGCGACCCGACGAGCTGGCGTCCATGGCCTCGTCCAGCGACGCCAACGACGACGACGAGAATGACAGCGACGACCCCGAGCACGGGCTCGCCGACCCGCGCATCTACGAGATGCTCAAGAAGATCAACCGCTGCCTCGAGACCATCCAAGCCATCAAGGCCGACGTCCACGCACGGCATGTGCCCGAGTACGCGCGCGCGACCAGCACAAGTCTGTAGTCTTAGTGTAGTTTAGTATCTTATTGGCCTGAGCCGCCGAATCCAGTCGCGTGTCATTGTCACTCGTTCAACGTGGCCATGTCCGTGCTCGTCGTCGACAGCATTCGCCCTGACCAGGATAAACAACAGATGCATCCCGCTGCTCGGACGACTGCCAGATCCACTCGCTGAGCTCCCGTCATCGTCCCGCTCGTCCAAGCACCCCTGTCGGTACTTGGTCGCTCTCATATCTTAGCTACGAGCGCCTGTAAGCAAAATGGCCTGCTGCAAAGTAGCTCCCTTGGTGAGACTTTGGATAGCTTTGGTCGTTGGTTGTTGGTGTTGCAAGTGCATCTTGTCGAGCGCTGCTCCATAGCGTCAAGTCGCACGTCGTCAGCTCCATTTGTTGGTTGCGCTTCTACGTCTGCTCCATAGCGACGTCGCATCTCAAGCCAATGCTCTTATATCGGCCACAGCATCCTCCGAAAGGTTTAGAAAAGGTATCCGATGCTGCTATTGTGGGCTATTCCCCTCGGACCTCGTCGCCCTGCTCGAAGGCAAGTACCCTGTCCCACATATATATCCCCGCGCCTTCTCCCAAAGCTCGGCGGCATAGCACGTTATCTCATAAGGGGGCTTTCGGTGGCAATACGAGCCCGACCTTCTTTGTCTTCGCGACTTCGTTGGCGCGCCAAGAATTCGGGACCGACGCTCGTGCTGCCACGTTCGATGGCCATCGTCTTGGTGTTTGTATGGTTTGCCGATCGTTTAAAAAAACAAGGCCACTATTTTTATAGTACAGAATTAGAGTTGTACTGCATTTTACTATATCCATGCGTCTATTTCTATATCATACATTTAATGCGACCACATCACGCGTTCACTATACCGTGCGGGGTAGGTCTGCAGGTAAAAAAATAGCTCCGACTGCGATCTGATTGGCGGATCGAAATTTGCACCTCTCGGGTTCGATATTTTGGTGGCGTGGCTGCATTAGCTTGTAGAGGTCGGTGAGCATATTGGTTGGTCCGCAGCTCGAGCGTCGCCGCCGCCACTCAGTATCGTATTTGCTCTACCAAGTCACCATGGGTCGCCGTCCTGCCAAGTGCTACCGTTTCCAGAACAAGAAGCCGTTCATCAAGTCCCGCTACTGCCGCGGTGTGCCGGACCCGAAGATCCGCATCTACGATGTCGGTAACAAGAAGGCGTCGGTCGACACGTTCCCGTTCGTGTGCCACTTGGTCTCGGACGAGAAGGAACAGCTCTCGTCGGAGGCGCTTGAAGCCGCCCGCATTTCGGCCAACCGCTACCTCACCAAGTACTGCGGCAAGGACAACTTCCACATGCGCATCCGCTGCCACCCGTTCCAGGTCTTGCGTATCAACAAGATGCTTTCGTGCGCCGGTGCCGATCGTCTCCAGACCGGTATGCGTCACGCTTACGGCAAGCCCACGGGCGTTGCCGCTCGCGTCGCCATTGGCCAGCCGATTATCTCGGTGCGCTCCAAGGACTCGTTCGGCCCCGCCGTCGTCGAGGCCCTTCGCCGCGCCAAGTTCAAGTTCCCGGGTCGCCAGAAGGTGCTTGGCTCCAAGAAGTGGGGCTTCACCAAGTACGAACGTGATGTGTACGCCAAGCTCCGCTCGGAGGGCGTCCTCGCCCTTGACGGCAACCACGAGAAGTACATGCCCAACCACGGCATCTTGAAGTTGTAAAGGACTTGCTAGCAGTAGGTTTCTTCATAAGTTAAAATACGATCATCGACATACCGATCCATCATACACGCCTTGGTTGTCGCCAACATGCAGTCGGAACTACGATGGCCGTGCCAGAGGGGGCGGGCTTGGACGTGCGCACGGCCTTCTTGTCGCCACCGGTCGCTCGCGCTGTTGAATACTAAGTCTCTCGTAGCCGTGAACCTTGTACAGATCAATAGCTCTGCTGCGCTGCAGAGCTGGCGGGCATCAGAAGTGCAGGTTGCCACCGCACGGACTCCTGCCGACGCTGGCAGGTAACCTCCGCGTCTCGAACTCGCCAAGGACGTCCATGCCGACGGAAGCTGCCTTGCAAATGGCGGCGACAAGGAGCAGCTCGCTGCCTCGGCAAACGTCCGTTCTCGGCGCCTCGTACAGCGCTGAGTCGACAGAGTAGTACTCTGGATCAGGCATTCGCGGACGTGGTCGCAATGTAGGTGCTAGCCCAAGCAACTAGAGCGCGCATCATGAAGGCCCACCTTCATGGCCATGCAAATGTCAGGCGTTGTCGCCAAACGCCATGCTTCTTCGAGCCTCAGCATGCCTGTAGTGATTAGAGACGGCGTTGATCGTCAATAAGAAATACCAACGTGGCCAAGCTGCAGAGCAAATGAGCAGGCGCCAGCATTCGGTGCCAAGCCTATTGCCGCGCGTTCACCGCTCGGTACCCTAGCGCACCAGAGAAGCAGCGCTGTCAACCTCGGGTCGCTCGCCGCTGCACGACGGCCTGTCTAGCGTGTCTGTCCCAATCGGTTGAACGGTCGCATTTTGGCCAATCGTCGTCGTTGGCGACACATGATTGGCTTTCAAGACGGCCAATCGGCGTGCGGCCTGCCACCCCAGCTTAAAAACTCGCAAGCTGTACTCGATGTTTGTATGCAACATAAAACATTTAAAAAAGCGAGCCCAGCCGGCTCCCGCACCAGCCAATTTGCCACCGCTGCTCAAGCTTGGGCTCACTATCGTTTTAGCCAAAACAAAGACAAGATGGGTGCCTACAAGTACATGACCGAGCTCTGGAAGCGCAAGCAGTCGGATGTCCTCCGCTTCCTGAACCGCGTCCGCGCCTGGCAGTACCGCCAGCTCCCGGTCGTGTACCGCCTCGTCCGCCCGTCGCGCCTCGACAAGGCTCGCCGCCTCGGCTACAAGGCCAAGCAGGGCTACGTCGCTGTCCGCGTCGCCGTCCGCCGCGGTGGCCGCAAGCGCCCCAACTCGAAGGGTATCGTCTACGGTAAGCCGAAGCACCACGGTATCAACGAGCTCAAGTTCGCCCGCAACCTCCGCTCGGTGGCTGAGGAGCGTGCCGGTGCCCGCTTCACCAACTTGCGCGTGCTCAACTCGTACTGGGTCAACCAGGACGCGACGTACAAGTACTTCGAGATCATCCTCGTCGACCACTCGCACAAGGTCATCCGCCGCGATGCCCGCATCAACTGGATCGTCAACGCCGTCCACAAGCGCCGCGAAAAGCGTGGCCTTACGTCGGCTGGCCGCCAGGCCCGTGGCCTCCGCCAGCGTGGCCACAAGGCCAACAAGATCCAGGGCTCGTCGCGCCGTGCCAACTGGAAGCGCCGCAACACCACGTCGCTCCGCCGCTACCGTTAAACAGGTCGCTGCTGAGTCTCGCTCGGTGCCGCTTCCTCTCGTCGCTGCTGCTTGTCTTCGAGACACAATACTGGGTCTGATGATCAACTACGTCGTGCGAATCGTCGTCTAATATCAAATGGTCCTGTTTTGGCTTCAACACTTGATCTTCCACCTAACTACCTCAGGACTTAGTAGACTTGAGAGTGCATTTGCGCATTGAGGACAGCGCATCCGGCATTGACGCCACGCACGAGGCATATGAACCAAGTGGAGATGAGCTCGGGACCGGTGGTGGACTGGCCAATCCTCGTCGTCGATGACCAAGGTCGATGGCAGATCTTGTCCAACCCAAGTCGACGCAGCTTGGGCTTGCGCAAGCTCCCAGATCGCCATGGCTTGGCCCAGCGCTGCTCGTGGCCCGTCATCATGTACCTAGACAGTACTACGCCGAGCTGTTGGCTATCAAAACGAGATAAGCTTATACTGCCGTCGCCGCCAACTACATGGTGCTCAGACGCGCGAGGTGGTGCGTTCCTGAGTCGCTCTGGCCTGACGGACTTATTGCAAATGCTCTCAAGTGGCCATCGACGCCGCGTCTAGTGCGCGTCTTGGCCGCATGCACGGTCGAGGCGAATGGTTCGTTGCCAGTCATCGAGTCACGCTCAACGTCGTCAGTTGGCTAGTTCATGACACCGTCTTGGTTGGACTTTGGCGCACTAGTACCGGTATTGTCAGCACCACTTGTGCAGGAGCAAGGAGCGCCTTGTACCGATCGATCAACCTATGGACGCTGCCAGGTATCGTGGGAAAAGCCAAAACCCATGCAAGGCGCTGGAGCCAGCAGCAGCTCGAGGACTTGTGAGCTGCGTTAGCTGCTGCATGACGAAATGTACAAGGTGAACGCGTGGCGGAATGTACAAGGTGAACACCAAGGCAGCGCTCCAGGCCACGTACACGACCCACGTGGAGGAAGCTCTTCAACTGCGGCGCTGTCCGAGGTCTGAGAATCGCTCGCTATGCGCGGCCACGGCGGCTTGTTTGACGGGTGCTTGTGTGGTTGCGGACCTCTGCCTGCGCTGGTTCTACCGACATGGCTGCATCTCATTGCACGTCTCCGACACGGGCAAGCCAAGTCGCTCCGTCGCTGGCAGTCTACGACCTGTAGCAAAAGCGCAAGCAAGACACATGGATGGCAAGTCGAATCCGACATGATATTACGTTTCCACGGTCAAGAAGAGCGCTTAGTTGGCGGCTTCGCGGCGGTAGCCGTCCTGGCGACCACGGAACTCGGGGTTGAAGTCACCCGACGGGCCCATGTTCTTGTCCTTGCGGCCGTACGCCGACGGCGCCTGGGGGCGCGACGGGCGGGCAGCGGGCTTCTTGAGCGTCGCGGGGACGATCTCAGCCGGCAAGTGGAGGTACGCGCGGAGGTACTCGAGGCCCTCGGCCGTCAAGTACCAGTAGTACCACTGCCAGTTGAACGTCTCCTTGACGTAGCCGCGCGAGACGAGCGACTGCATGAGCTTGATGACCTGGAGGTTGGGCACGTCAACCTCGCCGTGCTTGGGGAGCGCGAAGTCCTTCTTGCCGACCATGACGCCCTCCTTGAAGAGGTACGAGTAGACGGCAATACGGTTCTTTTTCGGGACCAACATATCGGATTCTTAGCTTAGCCGGCAAAAGCGGATCTTCACTGAGCACCAAAAAGGCAATGTGATCTGAGTGCTTCGCAGCCAATGCATTCCCGCGACCAGTAATTTGTCGAGATGTATTAGTGTGACTACACTATTTACGTGCCATACTGCTTCCGCGCTTGCATCGACGACCGCGGGCAGAATGGCGCGCTCTTCCTGGGTCGAGAAGGTTGTATGTATTTGATGCAATCGAGTGCTTGGACGAGCAAGGACGCGGGAGGGACATGCCGGCCACGGACAAGCGGCGTGCCTGAAATAGTGTGATTTGCAAGCCGCCAGGGTTTGAAATACGTGGACGAGTATACAAACCACAGGATATTTCATTGGCAATGTTTTATTATAGTTGGAGAGGACCCCGCATCGAAATAAGAGGGTACTGGGGATGAGACTGCATTTGGATTGGCGGAGCAGGTAGGGGGTGTAGAGAAGAAACGTAGGTGGGCTAAAACCACAGCGTTGGCGCCAAAAGCCAGCGCCTTGGTGTAAGCTGGCATGGTGTGGTGTACTATGAGGAAGACCTTGCTTGTTGGCAAATTTGTATATATTAGCAAGCATAACCTAGTACGCTATCGCGATTTAGCCGCAGCAGTCGCCGCGCGAGTAGACATACGGCACGTTCTTTTCGAGGCGCGTCGCGCTCTTGGCCGGCGCGAACGCATTGTGCTCGATCGTTCCGAGGAGGTGGGGTACGTAGACCTTGGACATCATAATGGCCGGCAGGAGACCGTAGATGCTAATGACTTGGTATGGCTGCGGCGCTGGCTTCTTGGTCGTCTCGATCCGCACCGACCCGCGCGTGTCGGTGCCACTGGCCGTGCCTGAGTCGCCTTTTCGTGCCGAGTTGGGCATCGCGCTGCGCGCAGTGTTGACGATGTGCGAGAGGCGGGAGCTTGCGGGCGCGACGACGACGCCGGCCGTTGGCGTGTACTTTGTTTGGACGAGCACCGTGCAAAACCCGAGGAGCGCGAGCATGCTCGGTTTGCAGTAGAGCTTGTCGCCAATCACAATTGCATTCTTCACGTCGAGGTCCATGCATGTGACCCACTGCGGCACGGGCGTGTCGATCATCTTGAGAAACTCGTTCTTCTGCGTCCAGCGCGTGTCCAAATACATGTAGCCGAGGAGGAGCTTATTCGCCAAAATTGAGATCGCAAACGCGCTAAAATTTGTGATCGCGACGTCAATCATGAGCTTGTCGACGACTGGGACTGTGCCATCGGCCGTATACGACCCCGCGAGCGTCGGAGTTCCGTTGACCGAGATCGTCAAGAGGGCATCGGCGTCGGTCCAGAAGGCAGCGGCCTCGACGCGCCCGCGGGTTCGAATGGTCGCCAGTAGAAGAAAAATAAAGAGCGACGAGTAGACGTAAATCGGGCCCGAGTACGAGAGCGGTTTATGCCGGAGGACCGCCGGGCACGGCAGGTGCTGCCAGCAACTCAGAAACGCGATCCAGGAGAAGGCAAACATGGCCGAGATCATCTCGAGGGACAACGACCAGTAGAGGTCGCCAAAGCCCTCCATGTTGTAGAGGTACCGGAGCACATCGGCGTACAGCGGCGAGTAGCACATGGTCGCAACCAGCGCGCACAGAAGCAGCTTCCTGCGCTCGAGCCCCGAGAAAATGTCATAAGTGAGCACGGGCTTGTTCTTCAGCAGTCCCGACGCGCCTTGGAACGTCACGTACGCATCATTCGCCAGGACAGCGAGCGAGATGAACGTGATCGCAATCTGAAAGTAGAGCAGTTCGAAATGGTTGTCGACCGTGTGCACCTGTACCCAGCCGATCGTGCCAATGTAGCGCGAGTACTTGCCGTAGCTCCAGCCCGAGTAGCCTTTGGGGTTGGCGATCGCGATGATGTGCACGTTCGAGGTCGCCCACATGAGGTAGCGTCGGTTGAGACTGTTGACTTGGGTATAGTAGTTGACGGTATCGGGGGGCGCGCTCACCGCGGTGCCGTCGATGGCAATAAACGTCTTGAGAAACGGGACGATCGGTATGGACGTTCCGTCGGTCTGCAGTAACACGGAAAGCGGCGCGAGCTTCAAGTCGGTCCACGAACTTAGTAGAAAGACGCCGTTGGGGTACCCGTCCGTCGTTGCCGTCTCGAGGACAAACATGCCAGTCATTGGCTGGCCGCTACTCGGAATGCACGCGGCGTACCCGTCACTCGGGTGGCTCGCAAAGAGGACGACCGCGACCCGCGACCGATCGAGCCCGACGAGGCAAGTAGTGATAAGCGCACTGCTCGAGAGATTGCCCGTCGGGTGCGGCGTGAGCTGAAGCGTCGTGGCTAACTGAGCGCCGAGGCTGGCCCACGGCAGCGGGCCCGTCAACGCCACTTCCGAGTCCTTGCACGAGAAGGGCACCCAGCCGTTGACGTCGAGCACACACGACGTCGCGAACGGCGTCCACGCCGAGTCGGTCGACGACTGCGGATAAGCAATGACATACTGGCTCTGGAACATGCCCTTCCAGAGAAGGAAGGCGACGATGACGGCCGTCCCGACGATCATGCCGCCCGCGATAAAGTTGCTCGTGATGCGAATCCACTTGGAGATGTACACGATCGAGAGCTCAGGCCCGTGCGACGGGTGCCGGTGGTTGGTCTGGTGCGGCCGCGGCGAGTGAAACTTGGTCATCGCTCGGTGTGTGCTTGGGTGTTGGCGCGCGCTTTGTATTTATAGCTCAACCGCTGCCTGGCTAGAAGAGTCTCCAGACGGTTGCATGCTATTCATACTTCAATGTGATTGTTGAAAGGAGTGAACAGGTCCCTTGCGTGGTGGGCTAGGACATAGTAAGAAGAGGGCGCTTTGGCTCGGGATTGAGTGGGGAATGAGGTAGCGAGTACATCAAGGGTCGGCGCCGAGAGCGATGTGCAACTCGGCTAGCGATGGCACCACGGCGCGACGAGCCAAGTGTCGGACATGCAGTCGTGGGATGGTAGCAGCCTTGATCGCAGCAACGGGAAGGGCGTCAACGTCGGTCGGACACTCGGTTACTGCCTTCAAGCCAAAGACGCAAGCGCGCAAGACCGGTTAGAGGGCGCGGATGAACGGCGTGGGAGCTGAGAATTGCTCAGAGTCAATAGGAGTACAACTGGCACAGCTGTAGGAGGCGCCATCAGCATCCAGCCTCTTGATTCCCTACGTCTTCCTTCTTGGCATTTTGTTCGTTGCCCACCATGCCAAGGGTTGTCGCCGTATACGCTAGCGTGTGTTCTGATCGAAACGCAGTGTATGTAGTCGAGGCGCGGCGGGCGGTGTAGTTAGTAGGTTGGTGTTTTAGTTATCTGGACACGATTTAGTACAAGGCGCCTTTGGGACGCAGGCATTTCGGGGACTTGGGCATCGTGAGCTCGCGCGACGATGGCGCGATCCGGAACGGCTCCTTGGGTCGCCGCACGGGCTTGGCCTTGAACGACTGCTGCAGCCGGAGCTCACGCTCGCGCGCGACCGCGTCCTCGGCACGCTTTGCTTCTTCTGCTTGCTTGAGCGCCTCGCGCTCGGCTAAAAGCTGCCGGCGCCGCAGCTCGAGCTCCTGCCGCTTTCTTGCTCGCTCCTCGGACCGCCTATGCGAATGGCTGAGCATCCTAGAGAGGGCTACTGTCGGTGGACGCACTGCACAGTGAGGTCGGGCTCGAGCATGACGTTCCCGACCGACTTGGACTTTTCGAGCTTTGGTCGCGGACCCGCCACCTCCTGGGGGCGCGGCGAGCTCTGGCTCACGGCGCGGGCGGCGCGCGGCGTCAAGTCCTCCGAAAGCCCGTGCGGCCGGCGCGGCTTGGCCTGCGGCTTGACCGGCGAGACCAGCGGCACGCGTGCGCCGAATCGATCGGTCGTCATGGGCAGGTGAATGCGGGGCGCCGCTGGCTTCTTGCGCTCGAGCAAGCGCGGCGCGATCGTAGGCGGTGCATGCGTGCTGGGCATCGGCAGCGCATGGAACTGCTTGGCCATCTCGATCGCGTCCGTGTCGGGCGGCGTGTACACCTTGCGGTGGCCGCCGCTGGTCTGTGCCCTGCGCGCGGTCTGCAGTTGCGGCGAGGCCGGCTACGCGCTGCGGGTCAACCATTCGTCGCGATATCGCAGCGCAAAGGTACCTTGGTGAGCGGCTTGCGCGAGTGGGGCACGAGCGTCTTGGCGTTGCGCTGCGAACCACCGTGGCTGCTGCTGTGGTTGTTGCTCACCACGTCGGCGTCGTCGTTGTCGTCGTCCGAGACGGCGGACGCGGCGTGGCTGCTTGCGGCGACGGCCACGACGTCGGCGAGCTCGCTGCTGGATTGGTTGGAGCCGAGGAAGTCAAACTCGGCGTCGTCGGCGCAGTCGCCAAAGTAGCCGTCGGCGTTGTTGATGTACGCCTTCTCAAAGTCCGTGTCGTTGAGGTCGTAGTACGACGGCGCGTCGAACTCGATCACGTCGGCCATGGCGGTTGCGTTCGTCTCTGGCGCTGGGAATGGATAAGTCGCTGGATTTTAGCCAATCAGCGCGCGCCCCACCAAGTCAATTACAACCGTATCCGGATAATCCCGGATACACGGAACGGCTATCATTCAACTGTGTGTAACACCCTTCTAACAAGCGTGTTAGCCACATTGCACACGGAAATAGTGTATATTCGACGCAAAGTGGCGCCGACCATCGCGGGCCCACATATCATTTGTACGCGGACGTGTCGACGACCTTTGAAAGAGTGGAATTGAATACACGTGGTACAGAGGCAGCTCGGCCGGACGCGAGTCTACGACCATGTACGCACGCCTAGCAGTGGTATACATTAACACTATTTGAAGAATTTCTCTCACCTTCGAAATGGCGGGTGCAGGTTATAACACGTGTTAGTGGCGTTAGAAAGCCGCACCACCATGCGCGCGCTTTTGACAAGCAGTGAACGAGGAGGCTCGGCAATCTCAAAATCCGACATCTCTCGACTAAAAGTCTCAACTTTTAAATGCTATATAATTCACTTTGCGATTCTCTTGATGAGGAAGACACGATATACGCATACGAGGCGAGCTAGACCAGCGTCGGCGGCTTCCTGGCCACACAAAACTCAAGCCCAGAGTGGTATATCAACGCAGCTGCAATCACAACTTGAATGGATCGCTGAGGTGGTAGCACCAAATAAGACCTATTCTCTCTCGGCCAAGAGCTGAAACCCCATCAACGTCAACACTAACAAGAGCAAAGGGTTCAGTGCCGGGCTTTGCCTCTCCTCTCTAAACTCCCACACCGTCTCGTGGATCCGCTCCTCGTTGCATCTGTGCATGCTGATGAAGGTCCTTCAACCTCCCAGAAAGACACGCTTGCAGTGCTGCCACTCTTATACACAAACCGCAGAAAAAAATGCTGACAAATTAGGCCCAGAGACGGGCGAGGAGCTCCTTCATCAACTTGGCGGCGACCATGGCGGTCATGCCCGGCGACGTCTGGCCCGTCACGGACGCATGGCCCGCGCCAATGTCTCGAGCTACATTGAGCTCGACAATGTCGGCGCCAACGACCGTCGGCGCCTGAACGTCCTGCAGGAGCGAGAGCAGGTCGCGGGTCGATAGACCGCCGGGCTCGTAGTGGCTCACACCAGGCGCGAACGCCGGGTCGAGGACGTCAAGGTCAATCGAGATGTACAGCGGCCCGTCAAAGGCCAGTGCCGGCAGCCCGTGCTTGGCGATCGCGTGCATTTCGTGGACTTCGACGCCGTACTTTGTGGCTTGGTCCCGGAGATGCGCGGTCTGCGTGCGAATGCCCACTTGCACTAAGCGCGTGCAGAGACCGCCTTCGAGGATGCGGGCAAAGGGCGACGCATGCGAGTGCGCGTTCTCACCGCCAAGCACGTCGTCGGCGTACATGTCGCTGTGGGCGTCGAGGTGCAGAATGTTGAGCCGGCGCTCGCCCGCTTGGAGTAGCGCGGCGCGGAGGCCGCGGATCACTGGAAATGTAATGCTGTGGTCGCCACCGAGCACGAGCAGCCGGTGGTTGGCGCGTGTGGCCGCGGCGGCAACGTCCGAGATGACGTCAAACGCTGGCGCGACATTGCCGAGATCGAGAAGGGCCGACACCTGCAGCTGCCCGACGTCGACGCCGGCCTCGGATGCGCCGTTGCTGCTGTCCGACAGAAACGCGTGGCGAATCGCGTCTGGCGACTCGGCGGTGCCACGCAGGAAGGACGAGTTGGCATCGAGGTTGACGCCAAAGAGCGCGACCGAGGTCGACGGCGAGAGGCGCAGCGCGGCAGCGTCGGCGACGTAGGGCACGAGCGGGTAGCGCACACCGGCGTGGAGGCAGCGACGGCGCAGCGACCCAAGCAGCATGATGATAGTTGCGTACAGGCTGGGATGCAAATCTGGTCGGCCGCGGAGTTTTCCGAAAAGGGGGTCGTGTTGGCACCACTTGTTTGTAACCTCAAGTTGTATGGGTGCGAGCGGACGCGTGCAAAAGGGATCGTCATGCTTGTCGGAGCGAGATTGAAGATTGAAGTTTAGTCGATAGTCGCTTAACATTTATATAACGGTCTACGGTCGAGTCGACACGGCTCAACAGTTGACGAGCTATGGAGAATACTACATTGTAGTCGTGGTCGACACCGTTGGTTCGACTCCGTGGAGCGGCTGGGTACTTGAACGATGTAGCATCAGAGTCGATCGCTGCTGGTTCGCAGTAGCAGTTGACGGTTTGATACTGATATACTTGTGCTCGAACGCCATTTCTGATAGAAATAAGAGAAACGATAACGTCTTTTTTTAACCCTCAGGCTCGTAGCAGTTGTGCTGTCAACCCTTCAAAGTTAAGGCTCGTCAAAACGAGGAACGGACATGAACGTTTGTGGCCAATGCGGTAGAACACAGCAGTAGTGACTGCAGTCGGCTTCATGACTGCGTTGGCAGACGTCCTTCGGGACACTTGTCAAGAACGATATTGCTACATATAGTAACGTATACACGAGTCAACAGTAACGACTTGAAACTGTGTTGTCGGCACCACCAAAAAGAACATTTAGTTCCAATGTGGGACGAACGTTTCCGACATTTTGCGAATGCCACGCGGACGCCACAATCTCCTCTTTTTAGCACAATGCAGTAGCCCTCGGCTCGACGCGTCTCGGATAACCACCCCAACTCTGCTAGGGACATGCAATGATGCTACGGTCTTTATCTCAGGCCGTCCGCTGAAATATCAACATGTGGGCACCCCCTGTCAGGCATCCGGGTTCGCCTCCGTTGCACGCACAATGACGATGCAGCGTCCTGTCTCGAAAGGCCCCTTCTACAGACCGGCATTTGCCACCGACCAGACGATCTGGTACACCTTCTCATGCGTCTCGAGGCGCTTGCGTTTCTCCTGTGGTGGCACGTCGCCGACGCCGTCTGGGGCGTGGCCTACAGCTTTCCCAGCGGCGATCTCGATCGCATTCACAAGGACCTGCACCAGATCCAGACGGCGTTCGCGTCCCTTCGCACCAACCAAGTGGTCGTCAACACGTTCGACGGCCCGCGCAACGTCCTCGCCCTCGCAGCCGCGCACAACCTCAGCGTCACCCTCTCGCTGCCCATCCACAAGCGACCGCTCTACAACGCTTCGATCGAAGAAGCGATACGCGGCGCCAGTGCCCACCCCGGTACCCTGCGCGCGCTGTACCTCGGGCAGCACCCGGGTCTCTCCAAGGTACCGTGGCGAGCGCTGTTTGCCGATGCGCGCCGCCGCCTCGACGCCGCGGGCCTCGCCTCTGTGTCCGTCGGTGTCCTCCAGTCCGACACGGCGCTGCTCGCCAATGCATCGGACGTCGCCGACGTCGACGTCCTCGGCGCTATCGTCCAGCCCTTCTTGAGTGGCGCGTGCGTTGATGCAGAGGCCGGGGCGATGGCGTTTCGAGAACGTGCTAACGCGCTACGTGCGGAGTTTGGCGCCAAAGTCGACATGACGGTGACGGGCTGGCCAGCGTCGTCGGGCGCACTCGCCCACGGTTGCGCTGCGTTCAGTGTGGCTTCGGCCAGCGCGTACTACATGTCGATCCAAGCCTGGCACCGCGCCAATTCGAGCGAATCAGCTGTGTACTACGAAGCGTTTACGGACGCGAGTTCGTTCGACTTTGGGCTGACAACCTCCAGCGGACACTGGAAGTTTGAAGTCGCCGGGCCGCTCCCAAGTGAGACACCGTCGCCGATAACAGACTTGCCACCGTCACCGTCACCGTCTCCAACCAGCGATTCTGGTAGTACCAGCCCGGTATGGATCGTGTGCATCGGCCTCGTGCTTGTCCTCGCACTCTACGCAGTGCTCGTCACGCTCGCGGGCCGGCGAAAAGGCCAGCGCCACCTCTTTGATACCTCGGCGGGTATTGCGATCGCGTCCCTTCGATGATTCGATAGACGATTAGTGTCGACAGTATAAGCACGAAATACAAATATTCACATATTCTTTTGTGGCACATGGATGCGAGCTCGATTGATGACAATGTGGCTTTCCGCGGGACGGCTTGCGTGCGAGGGTGTGTACGTTCTTCGAGCTTTCCTTAGCCTGTGACGTCTCTAGCCATCGACTTGCGCCGAAACAGGCCAAACGCAGCACACAACTCACGGACAGATGCGGTCCAACCAATCTCAGATACCCTCTACTGGTTCAGTGTCTGACTATCATGCCGTCCGACTTTGCCGTTTCAGGGCGTTACAATTGGGTCTACCGCTCGCGCATCGACCATTACAATGGCGCTGACGATGCATCGTTCGATGCGGTTGCCGGGCGACTACCGGTACGGAATAATATGGCTGCTTGCACTGTACTAAGAGCAATTTTTGTTCTCAACAACACCCGAATGGTGCTTCGGCGAGTCCAAAACAGATGTTTGCATCGAACGTCGATGGCCGTGCAAAGTGATCCAGCAACAGCTGTTGAACGCGAAAATGAGAGGCAGCGCGCTGGCTCTCGGTCTCGTTTCCAATCAGCGCCGGCGTCGAACGAGAGACACAGCCAGCATGCGGTGCCAGCGACTCAAGCTCGTCTCCGCCCACGGTGACGGCGCCTTTGATGTGGAAAGCGACTCGGGCCTTCCAGCACTCATTCTATCTTTTGCTTCCTCGCCGGAACGTGCAAAGACGATGAAGCGTTTGATGACTGTCATGGCCGCCTGTATGGGCGTCGCGTCCGCGGGCATGGGCATTTGCTACGACTCGTACGACTCGGCCAACATGAAGACGCACTTTACGACAATCAAGGAGCGCTTCACGGCCGTGCGCACCTTCCAGACGGACATGGGGTCGCAGAACGCGATCGATGTCGCCGCCGACACGGGCTTGAGCATTGCCGCCGGTATTTGGCTGCTTGGCGACCGGTACGAGAAGGACCTCAAGGCCGTCATCGACGGCTGCAAGCGCCACCCCAACACGGTCCAAGTCGTCTACGTCGGCAACGAAGAGCTCCACAACGGCTGGAACGCCGACAAGGTCATTGACAAGGTCCTCGAGACGAAGAAGCGCCTCACCGAGGCCGGCGTCAAGGTGCGCGTCGGCACCGTCCAGATTGATGGCGACTTCCTCTCCAACCCCAAGCTCGTCGACGCATGCGACGTCATTGGTGTCAACATCCACCCGTTCTTCAGCGGCGCGCCGTCGTCCGTGCTGACGCCGATCACCGACTACATGGCGCGCTGGGACGCGGTCAAAGCCAAGTTTGGCGACAAGGTGCGCATGACCGAGTCGGGGTGGCCGACCGAGGGCGGTGATTCTGGCCAGCACCAAGCCAACTTTCAGCGCGCCAAGGACTTCTACGGCGCCGTACTCTCGTGGCAAGCCAAAGAGAACTCGGAGACACCGTACTACTTTATGTTCCACGACAACAAGGCCAAGGGCGGCTTTGAGGCCCACTTTGGCATCGCGACGAGCGACGGCAAGTGGAAGTGGGACCAGCCGGGCCCGAACCCGCAGCCGCAGCCGAGCCCCAGCCCGTCCAACCAGCCTAGCCCTAGCCCGTCCAACCAGCCTAGCCCTAGCCCGTCTAACCAGCCTAGCCCGAGCCCGTCCAACCAGCCGAGCCCCAGTCCTTCGAACCAGCCAAGCACGACTCCGTCGGTGTACCCGACGCCTGGCCCGACCACTCCGACGCCTTCGTCGCAGCCCACGCCCGGCCCGACGACGCCCCGTCCTTCGTCGCAGCCGACGCCGGCCCCAACGACGCCGACGAGCCGACCGACACCAACGTCGACGCCGCATTACTGCGAGTAATTTTGAGCGGTCCTTCTATATCGTGTAAAGCCTTGATAAACTACATTTTGCACCTTCCAATTTCGACAAAAGAAAACGTTGGTCATTCTCGACCACATACACAGGCGAGCAAAGTGACAAAGTGGCGGCAACATACCGGTAATAGCCGTCTGGTGGAAACGCTGGTCATTCAAATGGGATCTTATAGCTCACTTGAAACTGTCTGCGGTTTCAAGCTGCACGCATTCCACCCCTCGCCGTTTCAGATCTCAACTCTCTTGACCATCCATTCTCGATCGCGACGAGACTTGACAACGGTAGCGCAAGTCTGTTCACACTCTCTCCTCCAGTTTAATTTTGAGAAGCCAATACGATAGCGATGCTACCCCACGAAAAACCACTAACAAAAAACTCAAAAATGTCATTTTCACAATATACAGTATGGATATGAATTACTCGATAAAGCACAGTCGGCAAAAGCACAACTCAGTGAGATTAGAAACAAAAACACAGTATCAACTTAGCACTTGGCGTTGGAGTTGGCCGGGATGTACGAGCACTTGGTCGAGGCCTTGCCGCCCGTGACGGCGACGCCGGTGAACTTCCAGTTGCTGCACGCGCCCTGCGCACAGAGAATGTACGTGTTGGTGGCCTTGGACGAGACGGAGCCCGTGATCTTGTTGAGCGTGACGTTGGTGATCGGGACGCCGTTGGTGGGCTTGCCCGTCGGGCCGCCGTTGAGGTAGTCCTGCTCGATGACGATGCCGTACTTGCCAATGTTTTCGAGCTGGATGTTGGAGTACGTGATGCCCGAGACAGACCCCTTGGCGCCCGAGACCGTCTTGATGCGGACGCCGTTGTCGCTGTTGACGACCTTGGTGTTGGAGATGGTGACATCCTTGACAATGTTGCTGGAGCGACCGCCGACCGACCCGATCGAGAGACCGTGGCCGCCGCTGCAAAAACCGTTGGTAAAGGTGATGCCCGTGCCCGAGTTGATGGCGAGGCAGTCGTCCTGGTTGTAGACGATCGCGCCCGAGATCAAGACGCCCGTGGAGCTGCCGACGTCAAAGGCGTCCGTGTTGTGGCCGCCCTTGGAGTCGCCGAGCTTGTTGTCGATCGTAATGTCGAGGTACTTGGAGTTGGTGACCGTGTTGATCGAGAAGGCGTGGACGGGCGTGTTGAGGAGCTTGAAGCCCTTGATGGTCGAGTCGACGAGCTTGGACGACTTGAAGAACTTGGGCTTGTCGACGCCGCCGTTGCCGCCCTTGCCGTCCCAGTACTTGGCGCCCTGGCCGTCGAGCGTGGCGCCCGTGCCGTCGAGCGTGATCTTGTTGCCCGAGACCGCGATGAGCGGACCTTCCCAGTTCTTGACACCGAACGTCGTCGTGCCTTTGAACGTGACGGTGGTGCCGGCTTGGAGCTTGGTCAAGTCGAGCGTGACGCCGCCCGGGACGTTGAGGTTGGTGACTGTGATGGCCTTGCAGCTCTTGATGATCGAGGCGGCCGACGTCGGGTTGTACGTGCCCGAGAGGTCGCAGCCGGCAGCGTCCGTGTTGGAGATGGCCGCAGCGACCAGGAGCGCGATCGTCGTAAAGATCTTCATATCGAAAGTGTGCAAGACAAGGCGCGTTGTGGAATGAGCTATCGACCTTGGAGCTAAGATCTGAGGATTCGTGATGCGAACAATGTGGTTCTGGCGCACCAGATGGTACGTTGCTGAACGTTGCCGACGGCGCTCGTGCGTCGTCGACCGCTCGTTTTGAGAATGATTGGGAACGTGTGACACGCTCCGTACCACTGAAGCAACGCATTTGGCATCGACGGCCGTGGCACAAATTTGTGGGGGGTGCTCTGCTAGGTCCTGCGGCAAGTTAGCGTAGCTAGCCCTTTGAATCTCAGAGCTGGTACGATCTCTAAACACGTTTTGATCTAGCTCTTGGCCAAGGATCTTGGCACTCTTCTGGCATTGCTCTGCGTGTAGAACGACGTCATCCAACTGTCGATTCGCTCTCTACTGCGCGCTTGGGTCGGTAAAGAAGCTCCTCAGAATTTGCGAGCAATGGACTCCATCACAGACATGGACAGTACACGAACGTACAGCGGACCACGGGCGCACGTCGTTGCTCGGCGTATGAGCTCAAGAGGGCATCACGATATAGACCCAACAATAAGACCTGACTATAAGACCTGAATATAAGATTGGACAATACGGTTTGTGATGCCTCGCGCACGAGAGCCGTACGCGGCGTTGATCAGAAGCACGACACGGTGCGCATATCTAGCACGACATTTATTCTTCTAGTAGTATATGTCATGTCTCTCTACCACGCATCCAATCAACGTCAATACGACTGCAAGGAATGCGCAACAAAGCTGCGAAAGCAACCAAAATCATTTCTGAGTCCATATCTAATATGGTAATCCAACGAATCGAACGACGAGTAATGGATCGTCGTCAAAGCATCTTCAAGCCGCACGCCGGCGATCGACAAAGATTCAGGTGAAACTGAAGACTCAGCGTGCATATGCACAGGCCGATGCAGCGTCCATCAACGTACCAGCTGGTCTATGGGAAGACACCTCGCCAACCGCACCACACCACAGCGCCAAACCAGCATCCCCAGTAGCTCATTCCACAACGCGCCTTGTCTTGCACACTTTCGATATGAAGATCTTTACGACGATTGCGCTCCTGGTCGCTGCGGCCATCTCCAACACGGACGCTGCCGGCTGCGACCTCTCGGGCACGTACAACCCGATGTCGGCCGCCTCGATCATCAAGAGCTGCAAGGCCATCACGGTCACCAACCTCAACGTCCCGGGCGGCGTCACGCTCGACTTGACCACGCTCCAAGCCGGCACCACCGTCACGTTCAAGGGCACGACGACGTTCGGTGTCAAGAACTGGGAAGGTCCGCTCATCGCGGTCTCGGGCAACAAGATTACGCTCGACGGCACGGGCGCCACGCTCGACGGCCAGGGCGCCAAGTACTGGGACGGCAAGGGCGGCAACGGCGGCGTCGACAAGCCCAAGTTCTTCAAGTCGTCCAAGCTCGTCGACTCGACCATCAAGGGCTTCAAGCTCCTCAACACGCCCGTCCACGCCTTCTCGATCAACACGGTCACCAACTCCAAGTACCTCGACATTACGATCGACAACAAGCTCGGCGACTCCAAGGGCGGCCACAACACGGACGCCTTTGACGTCGGCAGCTCCACGGGCGTCTTGATCTCGGGCGCGATCGTCTACAACCAGGACGACTGCCTCGCCATCAACTCGGGTACGGGCATCACCTTTACCAACGGTTTTTGCAGCGGCGGCCACGGTCTCTCGATCGGGTCGGTCGGCGGTCGCTCCAGCAACATTGTCAAGGATGTCACCATCTCCAACACCAAGGTCGTCAACAGTGATAACGGCGTCCGCATCAAGACGGTCTCGGGCGCCAAGGGGTCTGTCTCGGGCATCACGTACTCCAACATCCAGCTCGAAAACATTGGCAAGTACGGCATCGTCATCGAGCAGGACTACCTCAACGGCGGCCCGACGGGCAAGCCCACCAACGGCGTCCCGATCACCAACGTCACGCTCAACAAGATCACGGGCTCCGTCTCGTCCAAGGCCACCAACACGTACATTCTCTGCGCGCAGGGCGCGTGCAGCAACTGGAAGTTCACCGGCGTCGCCGTCACGGGCGGCAAGGCCTCGACCAAGTGCTCGTACATCCCGGCCAACTCCAACGCCAAGTGCTAAGTTGATACTGTGTTTTTGTTTCTAATCTCACTGAGTTGTGCTTTTGCCGACTGTGCTTTATCGAGTAATTCATATCCATACTGTATATTGTGAAAATGACATTTTTGAGTTTGAGCCATCTTGTTTTGGGCCTCGTGACGACGGTTCGTCACGGCGTCTCGAAACTGTCCACGTCGCCGCGTGGAAGCCTACTACAAAGCGACTCGGAGAGAAGCTTGGCTCAAGCTGACCTTGGCTCAAGATCTTCGTCGGCGCATCATCTGATTGGCCGAACGCGACAAGCAAACTCGGCAGCGCACCAATCATGGGTCGCCATGGGTGGGAACGAAAATAGTGTGCGATTTTCAACCTGTCCACCGTACAGTAGGAAGCAGTAGAATGTACTTGAGTTGCAAGCCTCGATCGCATGAACCAAACACTAATAGACGCGCGTGTTGTCCGAGTCGAGGACCGCCCGTATCGACACGGATGTGTCGTCGACTGAACCCTACCTTTTTGGACGCTGAATCTAGTGTTTACACTAAAATACGACCGCAACCCCCAAAAGGAAAATGGCAATG